TATATTTATAAGAATGTCCTTGCCTGTGCGCCTGTGTAATCGTCAGCTGAAGATGAAACAGTTGCCACCTAAATGCAAAATAAAGACCTTAAAAAAAATTAATAACAGATCTCGCTATAATTGACTGACTTTACTTGAAATCCAAATACTTACCAAGGAATTCTCATGAGCTTTATGCGCGACTGCTTCAACTGAGATGCGCTTCAAAGATCGCTTTGAATCATCATCTCCAGGTACTTGTTCCTGAAAAAAACAAACATTGATTAAGAATAAATAAAAACACAATTCAGTAAAGGATAAACCGTTAAGAATAAAGTGAGCGTAAATGCACCACTTTGTTTTCATTACAATATTGAAAAGTGAGTACACTCATAAAAATTCGGAGGTAGCTGTACAATATCTTATAACTAAAATATATAGTAGCCCTTAAAAAAATATTCTTTTACTTTATAAACTGCGCAAATTAGATAAAGATAATCAAGAATAAATTCAACAGGAAAAGGAATCTTCGAATAGGGCTCAACAGTTAATAAGAACTATTGACCTTCAACATATTTCCAAGTGACGCATCAGTAAATTCCGGATGCTTTGTATTAATATACGCCAGTTCAATCGCCACTAGATTTTCAACAATTTCATTTGTTGGTTTCAAGCGACTTTTCAAAACATTACTTACTACTTCGTTTATTTTATCATATAAACGAGGGAATCTTTGCATCTCTTGCTAAAAATATAAACTAAACTCGTAGAGAAAAAATTGACATTCACCGAACACATTAATATGATAAAACGAGTTTGAATAAACAAATAAAGCACTTTTTTCAAACTTTATCTAATAAATAGCAAATTTCACTGCTTAATAGCTAAAAAAACGTTGCTTCTGTTTTTTACTGAGTGGTTTAATGTCCTCTTTTATCCCCAACAAATTTCGGAAAGGTGAACAGAGAAGAAACCTGAGTATGGATGCCACAGTGCTGGACAATTCTTTGTAATTCTTCATGTACAAGTTCCACACAGCGCAAACTGGGTTCTTGCAGACGACGAATTTGTCTTTTGACTAATAATTCAAAACCTACTTCGGGAACAAAAAGTGCAGGCCGAGGACCCTACAAAACTAACAATCAGAACAGATCATTACAATGCAGAACCTATACTTTTATATCTAGAATTAAAAACCTTACGGTAGCATTGCGTATTGCTGTCAATATATCAAGTTGCGTTAAATCTCCTAATGGATCAATCGACTCTAAAACTCGACCGAATGTCTCATGAAATATGTAGCAAATACGCGCTCCACCACACCTATAGCAGTTGCCGAATTAAAGAAAATTATGAAGTTTGTAATTACGTCTCACGACACGACAAATGAATGTTGTTGATGTTAAAACAAAAAACTGACAGCTCCGCTGTTTCAATATTTTTTGAAGTGCCTTCAATAGTAGAAGTGTAAGCTGTTGCAAAACGAGTTATTATTTGCAACAATGTACTTCTGTAATCTTCTACTGGTTCCCCATACGAATTGAGTAGTGTCTGGCATTGCGCCATCAACACATTTACCCGCATTTTTAACTGAGGAAGACATTCTCGTATATGGTGCATTAATAGCTGGAAAAAGTGATACTGTAATATCACCATAGTTTTCAATTTGTAAGCAACGCTAACATAAGTACTAAAACCATTATCAGATAAGAAGTTCGCAGTATTCTGAAAATGAGAAAAGCCAAAACACATAAATATAAAACAAACAACTCCTTAAATAGAAAACGATCAATAAGTAATCCTTCATAGATACGTTGAAAAGAAATTATCATCAATTACAAGTAAATGAATATGACAATCCTTTCAAGCTGTAATATGTAATGATGCAATCGTAAAACGATATACCCTGAAAAATAACTTGATAGCAAAGTGAAGTATAAGTAAAAATTACTCTATTAAGTGTCTTCGACAAATAGGGTATTCCATTCCGGCTGGCTAGCGTAGGATACTTTCGTTGTAGAAATGACTGCTCATCACGCAAACAATCCTCAATTGGTTTTTTGATCATAATATCAGCTTGAGATCTATATCACATAATTCAGTTCATTATATTTAGTCAATCAATAAAAAAACTGAAAATGAACAAGAGCCCATGTATGAAAAAATTCAGTAACCTATTTACAACTCCTATGATCCCTAATTTCACAGGCACAACATATCCGAGAAGAACTTCCATAGCGTCTGTACCATGATCCATGAGGTCCAGTTTAGACAGAACAGCAAGCGTGCGACAGCCTAAAGTGTTATATATAAGTTATTCATGTATAAAAATTTATTATGTACGAGACAATGACAGATACTAATAAACGACTGTTCACATTTCAAAAATTACCATCAGGATCGACTTCTTTCGCTAACTTTAATGGTTCCGAAGTAGCTAAATCTTGATTAGCTGGTGTCACTGCTAAAATGATAGAATTTGGATTTCCGATATATTTCATAATTAAATCGCGGACTTGAATCTGAAAATATCATTTTGTTAAATAATCGCCAATTGGTCTTTTCTAAGATTTCCTGTTCTGAACATTTTTTAGTCTGTAAATCATTATCAAAGTGTCCTACATGACAAAAGAATAAAAGAAAACTGTTTGGTCCATACTTCAATATCTACAGGTTGATCCCCTACTGGTACTTTCGTCATGCCAGGTAAATCAATGAGAGTTAGATTGACAGCATTAGGCGAAAAAATTTTGAGATTGATTGGAATTTCTGAGATTCCCTGAAATTGAAGATGTACAATGTAAAGTAGTTATTACAAACTACGAGAAAATGAAACAAAAAGGATATGATCCATTCATAATACTTGAATAACACCGAGACTTTCTTACTTTGTTTTTACCCGTGATCCTCTCCGTCTCAAGCTCGATCTCTTGTCTAACTTCATCAAAATTCGTGAATATCTTATCTTTCAGGTGGCTGAATGTAGCCCAATCACGATCATGTATCACTATGCCTAAAAATTATTGCAGATAATTTATATCCCATTAATTTCCGTCTCATATACTGAAACTTCACGCATGGTGACACTATGAATGATGAACTGAGACATGATGCAAACAATTCAACAATGTATCTTTGTCAGTAGTTCTAGCTTCTTTATCGTCAATAGGTACATTCATCAGCTGCAAAATCAGAGGTCTTCTAGTGACAATACCAGCTCCACGGGGTAGGAAATCACGACCAACGATACCTTCTAGGACTGAACTCTTACCGGCACTCTGAAAGCAAAAAACAAACAATGCAGTGAAATTTAGAAGTTATGAGATAAAAAACTTGAATTAATTAAAGAGAACCGATCGGAATTATAGGACCTGTGAACCGACAACAACGATCTGTGGCAACTGTATTTCTGTTTCACGAGTGCCAATGGCAGAAAATACTTCTTGCAACTTGTTGATTACAGGAATAAGCGATTCCATAAATATCCTGAAGTGTATACAGAGGCTTAGCACTCACGTGAGTTTAGCATGAAGATGGAATGAATTGCTTTCTACGACTTTTAAATAAGATTGGTTTTCCATACTTTAGTACAAGGTTAGTAAACATAACGGTGCATGAACATTATTGCTTTAACAAATCAGATCAATGTTAGATTACATTACAAGCAAGAAGAATAAATCAATCAATGCACATAGTATATCTTACACAGAAAACATTGACGAGTTTCAGAACAGTTTTTACTTCACTTCGAGGAATTAAAGAAAAGTTTTAAAAATGAATAAACGTACTGATTGCTACTTAAACTGTTGTAAAAGGAGGCTTTTAAATATGACTCCGTAGCATGCGCGTTCGCCTTCAACTCTTTTAATTTATTCCCAAAACAATCATATATCGTCCGAGTCTTATTTGGAGCTTTGAGATCCAGAGCTGGTTCTGCTCCTGTACTTACACCACTCGTTGTTTCTTCCGTTTTGATTTCTCAACAAATAAATATTGAGTGTGACATCCTTTGCATACATCATTCATACTTTCAGTAACTTGCTAAGCATAATTACAAACTAAAACTTGCAATTTCATAGTTCATTAATTATGAAAAACACGAGTATCTTTATTATAGCCGACAAACTCCGACATACACCTGTTTTTAATCTAATGATTACCCAGAGTACAAAACTGTTTTATTCATGCCTACAACATAATATTGGACTGCAACAAACAGGCATCGGAGAAGAACCATCCAACTTTCAGCTACCCTCGAAATTCCTGACAAAGTTATACAAAATCAAATTAATATATCTGTATGTATATATATACTGCTTGGGCAGATCCGATCAGCCGCAAAATGCCTTGCGGTAGACAAAATCGTTGTAGTGCGAAGCCTTAATGTATGAGATGCCTGTACCCACCGATGAGTGGCACACATTGTGGCAATAACAGCTTTCAGTTATTATGAATAACGAAGCTCTATAATCGCATCGAAGTAGTTGTTAGCTACTTCATTTCGTTCTTCATTCACAATCTTGCCTTAGTGATTCGGGCATAAATGTATGAGTTTTGGAGATAGATTTGTAGAGTGTATGCGCTGTACGTGATCTCACTCATTATTATAGCAACAGTGCCCTGAATACAATGGCCTCATCAAGCATCATGCATGAAGTGGGAAATTTTTTCTTCTCCAGTTCACGAAAACTGTGAGCTATTCACGCTATTTCTCGCGTTCTGTTTGCTTCCTGCCTCTCATCTGATATGCTAATGAATTCGTGAACGTGTCTCGAATGGTCTGTATCTATAACTCGATAGAAGTTAAAGCTTGAGTCAGTGTTAGTTCAGTGACTGTGCACTGGACTGACTTATCTTTTCTAACACTGATGCCATCATTAATGTAACTATTTATTCTATAAGGTAATAAAAGTCATTGTTTGATGAGAGTGATGAATGCTTCCTTCATCGGAAGGCGCATGGTATTGTGTGTGAAGAGCACATCTATAGATTATAACCTCAGAGAGCAACGTGATCTCTTATTGGTTCGTATATTCATCTTTAATATTGTTGTAACTTGTCGCTTTCCTACACTGCACTGTGAAAGTGTGCTAACGTACGTGATATCTGCATGTAACGTATATAAGTGTATATGCGCGTATGTACATAAGCGTATCTATTCCATTTCTTGTTTCTTTTTATTTTCCAATCCCACTTTTGCTACATTCACTTTATTATCATTTTAGCAATTAGTTTCCTTTTATCTAGATCATCTATATTTTAATCTTATCTGTCTTTCGCTATACCTATCTATCTACCCGTCTGTCTATTTATATATCTATCAATCTGTCTGTCTACCGACCTTCCGATCTTTCTACCTATCTATTGATTCTTCTCAGTATTAGTAGACTAATCAGTTTAATCGTATAATATGACTCTAAGAAAGCTGATGGTGTACATGTATACAAAAATCTGTAAGCTCTTGTACATAAATAATTCTTAATTTATTATGTAGTGCTGGTTGTGATAATCCATTGTTGAAATTTCTGACAGTACTAAATTACGAACTGAGATTGAATTTGTGAGTAGATTCGACATAGCTTCCACTTAAATTCTATATGAACCGAGAAGTTTAGACTGTTTTTATTCTTGGACTTAAAAAGCATAGTCAGGAATATCAGGCTTGTAAACATGGAATGCATAGGTAAATCCTTTCAAATAAATCGAGTTCTACTTATTACGAAATATTTTATTACGTACTCCAGGACCCTCATACGTAATAATGTATCCATGTAGTGCGTAGGATTTTGTTTGGTACATGTTGCTTTTCTTTATATTTCAGGTTCATCAGCAAGCTTCCAAGAAGAATATTCTTTTCCAAGACTTTCATTCCATAATCACCAATCGTTTCACACCAACTTTCTTACGTATGTGTTGTACGTTGTTTAAAGCTAATGACTGAAAGCGAAATGTACGTTACTTATCTTTGTTCATTGCATTGCTGCTAAAAGTATGCATTTCATAAGCTTACCGTTTGATGACAAAGAATAAAAAACATAAGCAGTAAAGGGTAAATAGAATTGAGTTGTGCAAAATGTGAAAAAAAGTTTTTTGAAGCGCATTTTGCAAGTAGATTTTATTTATGTAAACGTGAGGTAATGCAAAGTCTGCTCGCTTTGTAGAATGCGATACATAGTCGTGTAAGTGATAAGTGATTACTTTTAACTTACGTTTTTCGGTCGCACTATATTAGCTCAGGAAATATGGGTGACGCCATACTTGCTAAGAAAAAGCCACTCTCAATCGATGAAATGAACCTTAATTCCATACAACGATTGGATCCGTGTGCAGTATCAATAATCGACAAGGTTGTTGTTTCATACCTTACATTTTTACTATTCTTGCTTCATTATTGCAATTTGCAGCCATTAATTTTTCATTTTGTATTGTCTTTTCTAGTTTTTGCACTTTTTGTTAATTTATGACATTTTCTTACATTTCATGAAATCGGGCATTTACTGGATCTAGTGAATAGAAACTGGAGTACATCAAGTACTCTTCGTAGATTCCACTTGTAAATGCAAGGCTATCAAATTTGCCTTATATTTCTCTGCTTGTCCGCATCATGAAGCATTTTAGCATTACCCATATTACGCTATTAGCGTCCTGCTAAATGTACTGCTTATAGTAACCATATATTTAAAGTTTGTTTCAAACTAAAAAGATTGGTCTTTTTGTAGACTGCTCATGCAGCGTTATACCACTTCAATAAGAGTAAAACCGAGTGGGTAAAAACTACCGTAGAAGGACCATTGTTTTTATATAAACGGGCTGACAAGCCTTTACATTCGCTGATGATCGCGAATCGTCAGTCACTAATGGATCATATAGAACCTATAATTCCCTCGCTGCAGTTTTTTCTTGAAACCCCTTACATATTTATCAACACTCAGGGTATGTTCCAGGAAACTTATTATTATATTTCGACTTTGACGTAGGTAATATAGCCGAGTTTTCTTTGCATGTAACTGCAGGTTTAAAAATGCTGATACCGGTCCTTATTTTCTTTCTGTAAAACTACATGTGAAAATATGTGCTACCTCTTTAAAGCCTTATTTATGTTAACCAGTTTCATGCGATTGTCATTGTCATTTACCTCTGGCTTTATAGAAAACGATATTAGGGGATTCTGGTTTTTCGATGAAGTAGACTGTGTACGTTTCTATAAAGTTCTCATCAAGCTTACCTCTATGTCTAGTCCACTGAAATTTGCAACTGATTCAAATAAAACAGCAGCAGGTCCTGAGCAAAATGGCTGTAGCTCGCGTTCAGTATTCAATGCAAATAAAAGTAACATCAGTCAAACAACTCTTTTATGATAATTGCTGTGGCACACAGATATATTAATATTTTAATTTCTAGTAGTTATCAGTCCTTGAGCATAGTTTTTTCTTTCCATAACTTGCAGTATATTTTATTAAATAAACTCTTGATCAGTGAAATGACAGCAGTACTGAATTCTTCATATAATTTCGTCATAGGTAATGCCGATGTCGGCACTACTCAAATGCCAACCGTGCTGCAACAGTTGCTGTCAGATCAATCAGCTAGGAAACTGCCAATGGTACCGATCACGGGAGCTCTAAGTGCAGACCAAATTGAGCATCAGTTTCTCTTTGGAGTTGATAAAAATACTAACAACGTTCTGGAATCAAAAGAAAGAATTCAAATAGCACAGGAGACACAGTAAGTTTTCAGTCTTATTACTTTTAACAGTAGATGCTGTCTATGAGTACTTATATTTAACTACACTACAAGTTCTTCAATATCACATGCATATAAACATTCAGTTATAATGTCATCACTGATTAGATTAGTAAAATGTACAAAGTTCCTTTTTCAGTAACTTCTCTTACTTTGTTCATGTGTACAAAAAAGTATTTCATTTTAGAAAATATCCATCTTCATCTGGAGCACACGATCATTATGAGACATTATCGCATTTACTGGGTAATCTGTCACCATCTTTTCTCGATTCATCTGTAGAAATTACTTCGGAGGTATGAATCAGTTTTTCAAGTCAGAATGTGTTTTAGTTCTGTCCAGAACATTCTGAAAATTTCAGCATTCAGCTACGGGTAAAAAAGATGTTGATGTCGTCAAAGTTAAAGATAAAAGTGCATCATCGCCCATTGTTCCCTTGACTAAGGGTCAGCTGTTGAATGCATTAGAAGAATTACTAAAGGTAACTCGCTTTATCAAACTTTTACTCTCTGAATAGTTATGACTGCATGCCAATTTTGCAAATAAAGAATACTTTATAGAATATACAATGTACCGATAAGTGGTAAAACACAACGCTGTAGTGTCTACACCGTCGTAGAAAAATGACGAGACTTCTGTTTGTTGGAATATATCTAAATAGAAAATAGAGTAGTGGTAGGCATGTACTCAGGGTGTTATAACTTTTGCTTTTTAAGGATGATGATTTCTTAACACGACTTCACTGTGCTTATTTGAAAAATATCAATGTTCGATTGGGATTGCGCGATTAGAGAGTAATTACGACGTTTATTTTTTATGAAAGTGCTTTTGCAAAGAAGCGCAAAAAATAGAACCTTCACTTCCTACATCACCTTTACATATATACTTATACGGTTGATGGCTGGCAAAATCTTATAGCGATTTTATGAACGTATTCTTATGTATTGTTTGATAGCTCATTCTGATCTGAATTTTATGCCATCGGTTATTGTGTTTTAATTATGTTTTATCTTCAGAAAAAAGTGCATTCTTCGTACAAGCTGGTTCTAATTTCTAATGTCACAATATATTGGGTTCATATTACTGACATTTCGATACTAATCCACCACATTTGTTCCATTTTCTCATATGACGCTTTATAGCAATTAGAATATGACAATTTATCGTTATCGCACATTTGTAACTGTCGGAGATTTTTGGTAGTAAGAGTGTATGAGATGTATACTTTTAATCAGCAAGAAGTAATACATATGAGCTTGATATATACGTTCCACAATAGTTTTGGATTGTAGAGTGGGAGAGAATCTATATTATGTAGTTCCGTTGCAGAAGTACAGGTCAAATTTCACAACTGATAGTAAGAACCCTTGAAGGTACTCTCCCTTGGTCTTTGCTAATTGGAGGTAGGTTTGATATTAAGCAGCAGACTGAGTAACAAAAATGGTTTTCTGATATGGACGTCTCACACATTATATTTGATGCCGCATCCACATTGGTGATGCAGGAGAACTTACTACTTGCAGAGAGTCGTGGGGATATGACTGTCAAAAAACAGAAGCAGTTAATTAATTATCGTGGGTCAGAATGGAGCAACAGAGAGGTGGGCAGTTCTGATGATAGAGGAATGCAATATAAGGCGATCTGTGGGAGAGCCTGATTTTTATTTAAAGAAATCCTCAAAACTACGGAGGCATGATTACCATGTTTATTTTATAACAGTATATATTGTAGGCCCTGTTTCCAGATACTTTACGAAACATTTTAATTGAAAAGGCAAGTCAATCCATAGTCATTAAGATTTTAATATGCAACTGGATATTAAATATCAGCGATTGTCTACTACAATGATGTTATCTGATGTAGAATTGGAAACAGTAACGACCAGGAAACGCCAATTCCATTTGCCGCCATTCTTTTCCATTTCAGCTGTTACTATGCCTTGACATCGGTTACCCTTTACGTTAAACATTACACGAACTCTGTCATTTTCATTCTGCAACAATTAATATCTGATAATTCAGAACGTTATGAAGACTAAAAAACTATACTGCATTGAAATGACTGTAGCAACAGCTTCGGGATCCAATAATTGAAAGCACAGCATATTTCACGCTCACCTTCTTGTAACTATGATGGGCAACTTGTTTTATCCTTCCTCGTCCTTCCACATAACCAACAATCGAATCACCTAGTAACCTGCAACATTCAGGATCCTTTTTGATCAAAGATAAGGCCTTAGAAAATACTGTCTGCGGTGCTCCTGGAGCTAGAATCTCTTCATACAGTAAGTATGCCATACCACCCATAACAACCAGTGACAATAAATATGCGGTGTAGAGATACGCATTCGTTGCTTTTTCTTTCACTGAAGTATGAATACATCTCACGCAGAGCACTCCACTAACATGTAAAGTTGTAATTATTGCTTTAATTAAAAGTAAAGACGTATAGGACTAGACTGATTATGATCTGAGGTAACGAAACGTCGGACCACAACAACAATAGATTTCTCCTCATGCTGAAGAGGTGAAATAATGTCATTAGCCTGTGAGAATAAGAAGTTCGGGAAACTCATTAATAATACAATAAATGTAATGATCCCTCGTGAATGCCAAATCCCTATCGGTGCTATGTGTTTTATTATAAATAGTATGGTTCTGATGAACCAAATGATAAAACACCGACAATGAAAACAATATCTTCTGACAGAAGTACCTTTTTGCGAAGCACTCTGAGGTTCCGCCAGGAGAACCTTTTCCAAAATCGACTTATCATGCCCCAATTGTTTGTCTTGTTTGCTAACCACCGCTCCCGTATTCCTCTTCGCGACTACTGTAAACGGTAGACGAAATCGCGCGAGCAAGAAACACGAGTACCTAGCAGTCCTCGCGATGAAACTGCTATGCAGCATCATTTGAAAAATCGTCAATTTGAATTGTTACAACGCCCAGACAAATGAGTGGTTCATCAGTTTCACACATTAATTGATGCCCCCTATATTGCTGGTGCCATCTGTTTAATCCACAATTTCTAAAGCAGTGACCATCTCAAAACCACCAAATTTCACAAAACATTGCAAAGCGATACTGCCTACTACATTTTGAAGCCTTTAAATGTTATACAAAGATCACCTCCACGAGCAACCATGGCATTCTGGACAAAAAGGTCAAAATGTAGTAAATCAGATACAGGAGCTGAAAAAGTAGGTGACCAGCTTGCGATATGAAACTTATACCAGCCATGTAAATCAGAGCTAAGACTTGAGTTCAGTTACAAAACTACATGCCTTATCCATCTTCTTACAGGATTACAACCAGCTGGAGTGCAAATTAGAAATGAATGATAAATGACAAAATAAAACATTGGAGGAAACAAATCCACATAATACAATGAAGTTGATAGGAAACGGCACAACAGTCAGTCCATATAAAACCTTTATTTTTCAAACCATGTAAAATACAGTAATCTTCCAGTGCATAAAAAAAACGTCTCAGAAAGTATTTCAATAATCTTCGAGCACTTAGTATGCACGAGTCAGCATCTTCCATTCTGTTTACAGTCTAGAAGACCGGCACCACTAACCAAAATACATGTCCGGGAATCCATCACTGCAACGTCTCTATCCAGAAAACAGATGATATAGAGACAGGAAATAAAATCTTCTACGAATTAAAGAGAACATACATTCAATTATGCACATATATCTAGAGTGGTCTTTGAAGGCAACTACATTCAGGCTCTTTTGACTACCACTCCGAGCGAGGTATATACAGTCCGGAATTCGTACAAACGCACAGATAGAAAGTGGGTCAATTCCACTCAAACCTTTGCATAATGCAAAAAGACAATCATTCTTACGAACAAGCAAATGATAGAATCTTGCATAACGACGTAGAGGCCGGAGAAAATCACGCACAAAAGAAGTAAAATAGGAGAAACCCTTGATTACGGTGAACATTACGAAGTTTAACTGAAGTCAGAAAATTATAAAAGTAGGAGAATAATGTCGAAGCCATTTTCAAAATAAAATATTTATATACATGTATTTCCAAATTACTCAAATATTGTAAAAAGACAATATATCGAAGTGCGAACTTCAATACTGCAAACATCGTAGAAAGACATTAATATGAGGGAAACTTGCATTAGCAGTAATCAACCATTCATTATTTCAATATCTCAAGCAAAACCAAATCCTTCAGTGCATTCTCGCACGGCTAATAACAACATCTGTCGAAGTTTATCGTATGTATCGTACTGCGGAAGATCCAACTGATTGAAGCTATAAATATCATAACTGAGACATAAAATGTATAAGTCATCAACGAAACAAAGATCATTTAATAGAGCAAACATGCACACCATGTGTGAGCAGTTGGCAGTCGATCAGGAGAACGTGAATCCAAGTGAATCGAGAATTTTTGAGTGCCATTCATACCTTCGAGTGCCGCGAAACCTTGCAGAGGAACTTTGCTGGTACCAGTAACAAACTGCAAAAACTTTGCACGATCTTCCTGTTCAAAAGACCTTAGGGCTTTCCAAAACCATTGTATCTGCAAAAAGTAAAACCAATCATATAATGTAACAAATAAGATACATCTGTTTGCGGGTAAGCATATGAATAAACTAGTGGTCAACTAACAGAACTGGACCTGACTTTTCAAACGGAGCCCTATCAAATAATCTGAATATACCTCCGGTGAACCTTCAATAGCATAAAAAATAGTTAAATCACTGAAAAGGACACTGTCATAAAAACATCAGGTACCTGACAAGAAGATTTTGTGTATGTTTTGTATTCTGTATTAGCGCACAGATCATCAATATCGACATTTGGAAGTCCACTAATCAACAACTCCAATTCTTGCTCATCAAAAATTGATATCAGATTTTTCGGAATTATCTCATAAAAACCATCCAAAAATGCTTTCAGCTGCTGATTGATGGAGCCTGGAAAAAAATTTATGCATTTTTGTGTACTTTACGTATTCAAAAAAAAAATAATGATTGAATGACGACGAAAATACAAAAACTGAAGAAAGAAGACTAACGAACCAGTCATTTTCATCTGACAAACGAGCTTTACGTACTCTTCCTTATTCTCATCTGTTACTGGAATAGATGACCCATTTTCTATTAGCATACGCATTTTCTGAACCCCAAATTCCTCTACCTCTAAACTAAATGTAAGCTCCGTGCCCAGGTCCTCAATTGGATTATTGAGCAGGAATTCCAATGATTTGTAAAAACTAGGGTCCTGAAATTTGCTAGGGTTGCATCACTTGTGCATTATTCAATAAAGTCAAAAAAGATATGACAAAATCTATTCTTTAACTTCTTTGCAGAATTACTTGGTATGCATTTTTTCTGCAAGTAGCATTAAGTTTTCACGCCTAATTACACTGGTAAAAAGGAAAAAATACCTCAGATTCTAAATCCTGAGCTCTCACAGGAACACTTAGGATATGTTTGTAGAATGCACGAGTGAAATAACACTCCAACAATTTATTTTCATAAACCGCCTTTGCTATTATTCGCCCAACAAACTGAATGAAAATGGTCAATCTTTCATGAAATATTGGACAATTTTTCTTCTGATGATTTCTTTTAAAGCAAAATGAAATCCTAATCGATATGAAGTTTTAAAAATAAAACAAAACCTTGAAGTATTCCAAGTGTTCAGGGTTGATATATGAAGTTTTATTAATCATATATGTTACGCGGTCTCCTGGAGAGGTAATGAAGAGTGCATAATTAGGGTTGAAAATTTCACGTGTGATAATTGAAAACCATTCCCGCAATAGCCCACCAGCATCTTGTCCTTCTTCACCCTCGAATATAATATAAAACCTTGCTTTCCATTCCGGGCCACGTAGTCTGAATAACTCCCGGAAACTGTCACTAAATAAGTGACTACGACGGACACGTACTGCTACATCTTCACTCCTAAAACTAATTGCAGTTACGTATTTTGTTTTCTGTAGTGTATTCATTCACTTCTTTCACTACCGGAAGAATCCACATGTACTTCTAGTACCTGACATGTTCATCAATTTTCTGCATCTGCTTACGGAAGTAGATACGCTTAACATCAAAGTCCAACAATTTCGGCATTTGGGTTAGCACTGCAAAGGGGCCATCCGTTAATCCGCTCCCATTCTGTCTTAAAATTTGATTCAGCACAACACGGTGTTCTTCTGAAAAATAATCATCATAACCATAATATAAAATCAAGATTAAAAATTCCACAACAGCTTTTATAGAAAACTATAATGTAAATGTAAATGAGACATTTAAAATCAAAATGAACAATATGAGTGCTGATATGGCTAGTTTTATGATTCAAGATGCCAAATGCGTGAAGATTAGTTGCATTACATGACGGAATGGAAACCTGCAAAGTGAAGAAGCTTTTGAGCATCTACATGCTCGTTTAATTTGTTTGCTTCAGTGATCGAAGACAAGTCCGACCCATGCACAAGAAAGAATGCTTCGGCACTTGGTTGAAGAGCTAATGCAGCATGAACATCCGCATGTGCAAGATTTGTCAAGCATCTTGATATAAGATTCCACAGTGGATACAACATGCTCAGCAACTGACTGATACTTTTATCTTTCTGAAATGGCAGTAAGTGTATAAGATATTATTTCTGAAAGCAGAAAAAGAAAGCAGCTTGAGCATACAAAAACAAAAGACTTTGCAGCATGATTGCATTGCCTTAGTTTTATCTAAAACTTGAAAATTGACTTTTAGAGTCAATACTTTTTTTTCACATTAACTAAAAACAAAATTATTGAATGACTAAACGCATTTTTTACCTCAGCAGTTTTCGTTTCTTCAGTGTTAGCAACTACATCTGCACTGCTTTTTACCGACACGCCCTGATCTGCTGTTCCAATATTCATGTTTACTTCACTGAATTTTCTTGCTTGTGATTGCATAACTTGTCTGATTTTTATAATTGTTTGTAGAGTCTTTAAAAACATATTCTGTACACCATTTCTATCAGTAAAAGGTCTTATTGCTCGTAACTGGAGTTCGGAACAGCCTGATGAACTGGCTACCATCCGTGAATTCGACATTCCCGTAATCACAACCATCGAATCGTCATACCTGATATAAAGAGACAAATTTTTATCAATACAGAATTATTATGCACTTGTAAGCTTAAGATCATTAAATTAGAAGCTCGTTATTTGATTGGTCAAGTGGTTACAGACTTCCATATGTTGATAAAAATATTACCGATTAATAGCAACTTTTGAGCCCGATGACGGATGCTCGATGAGTGGAGCATTTTTTTTATAATGGAATTGCATTAGTTCCTCGTCAAGTTCCTGAAAATATGGCAGAAGCCGAGTTCCTAAACGTTCCGCAGCGTTTAGAAGAAGTGTCATTATAAATGATTTAGTAGATGGTGTAAGAGCGCGAATCAATTCTAACAACAGAGTGCGTCCGTCTGCAAGACCTTCCTCTGAGCAATCGCCCTCTGTTAAAGCCTGGAAATTCTGGTTATTAGTTTGATGTTATCACTAGAATAGACTAGTTAATAAAGTAAAAGTGTACACGGACCAAAACAATGCATTCAAGTTGTTCAGCAAGTGGTGGTCGATCTAGAGTTGGTTCAAGAGACATTTTTGAAATAGTTTCAGTTGGCAAAGTTTGTACAATCTGAAAAAACACAGGGATATGTCACAATCGTCATTCAATGTTGCATCGTTAAAAATACAAAGAAACCCAAAACAAAAAACTGACTGTACAAATGAGGCGCAATAATTTGTCCTGCAAAATCGGTGAAGAAACAATAACTGGACGTCTAATGTGGTCCATCAATATCCCAATAGCGCTTTCCTCAAGAGACGATCCCGCCATACTAGCATTAACACTTCCAGGTCCGAGTGGTATTTCTAATGTATTTTGCCGATTTGTACTGGAAGATGATAAATCTGCCTTCGACAAGCTGAAAAGAATTGAAGAATAACAAATTAAGCACAAAACACTAATGTCTCATTATAATTTACTTAGATACCAACTGCAATAAAGGACAGAACAGAAATCATAAATTATGTTAAACTTGCTTCATATTTCATGGTGAAAAACAGAAGAATCAAATCAAGACAATAAGACACACCGTACACCAAGAAATATCATGTAATAAATCATGAGAACTTACAAAATTCTCATTCAAAAATTTACCTGTGAACTATCCCCCAAAACTGTGAAAAAGGTGGAATTCTCAATCCAGTGCTACAAGGAACACCTGAATGACGTAATTTTGCAGGTAGAAAATGACCTGGATAAGCTTTAGCAAGACTGGCCAGTGTCTCTAATATAAGGTGACAAACTGAAGCCAAGATTGCTGGATGCAAAACAACTGCAAAATTTAATACAAAATTACATTACTAATATAGTATGCAATCTTTTTATGCTATACAATGCTGTTCTAATTTTTAATGAGTAATACATAAATGAATATAAAATTGTATGAAAAAGAAATTGCCAAAAATTTTACCTATGTTAGTACTTTTGAAGAATTTAACAGCCTGTTCATGATGTCCAACACCACTTTGAACACAAATTTGATCCAACCAGCCAGATACTGTGCCCGCAACATTTTCATATTTAATAGGGTCTTCATCTACTTTATCGAGCATAGCAATTAAGCACCATATAACAAAGTCACATGTTATATTGTGTGCACAGATGTTTTTGATGAGCTTCTGAAGTAAATCAAAGACTGTTAGTACATATCGGTAATGTTCCAAAATTAAAAATTCCTGTCAACAATTTCAATAAATGATGAAGCTCAAAATATGTAGATGACTTAAAAATGTTCTAAGAACATTACCATACAGCAAACGAATTGACGAATTTTGAGTAAACCTGTAAACGCTGACTATTGAGACGAGCTGGGTCGATGAAGAAAAGAAGTAATAAGGTTACAATAGTATCACGATCTAGTAACTGAGTAGCATTTTTTGAAGCAAGTGTAGTGACTCCAGCGAGCGAACCTATTGCAGTGGTACCACTTGTTCCGATACCTCCTCGACTATTTGCAGGGCGAAAACGCTGAGTTGGTGCTAGCATACGGGCGAAACGCATAACCTGCTAGACCGATCTGTACTGATTACAACGAAAAAACCAAAAACTCTACGAAAGTCTATCAAAACAAAAACCAGAAAGCAGCTTGGAAATGATTACCTGTGCTTCATAAGATGCTCTTAAACGTCGTGCCTCCGCTGCTACATTTTGAGGAAGAACTTGTAAAACAGTATCATCGGCATCAGCAAGAACTTGTGCTCGTAATGATGGTGGAAGTGACTCAATTATTGCTGCAGCATCATCTGCCTCAACTGGAGCATCTAAAAAATAAAAAATTCAGTAATATTATTTAATAAAAAGTTTAACTGTCTACTTATCAAGAAAATTTTATCAGTCACCATTATACCATGAAATAAACACAAAAATATACCTGCGGGTGGTCCACTACTATTTTCCGTCCTTTCTTGAGCTAATCGTACAGTTCTTTCATGCTGTGCTAATATCTCCTCCTGCAAATCTGGAGGAAGCGCATTTAAGAATTCTTGATCAAGTGGTTCAACTAATCCATTTTCACCATTTGCTTGCCCAGCTGCTTCTATGTTTGCCGAACTTTGTAACAAACGTTGTGAGCGTTGCTGTCGAATATGATCATGAATTACTTCTGTACGGATATCTTCAGGTAACGCTGCCAAAAATGCAGGATCTACACCTTCTGGAATCTCAATGTCTGAAAATCAAGATTTCTGAAACAATATAAACAGCTAACCGCGACTAACATATTACACCGTAATAGGAAAAAATGATCTCTTGAAGCACAAAACAAAATAGAAATTCGATAAGTTTTTTGCCTCCTAATATGTCTCTGAAATTATCTTGCTGATGTGCTGTTTCAAGTTCAACATTAGGTGTGTTCTGTTGTTCAACATTCGCTGAGACAGCGGTTTCTGAAAAATCAAGAAGAGATAAGGATCCAGAAAAGCTGTCCAATATCGTTTCAACAACACTTCTTTTTGACTAGAGTTTTTGAAATGCACGGTTTTTTAGAATTTTATTCAGTAACACTCAAACTAGTTTATTTGCATAACAAAAGAATGGATCACAGAAATAAAAAAACTCATCTGTATTAAACATTCACCTTGTACTTCTGCTTCATTTTCGGTCTGGCCGCTCGATGCGTGCTGAGCTTCATTTTCGTTATCAAGATTTTCTCGTGCATCAAATTGTAATGCATCTCAAACAGAATTTAAAAAAATTACAAAGGAAACAAGTAAAAATCAAGAGGTATCTGCAAAACCATTTCACTGATAACTATATGATGGGGTAATAAAATCTACTTGACTGATCCATAGGCTCTTGAGATACATTTGTTTGCGTACTGGGAACAGAGACAGATTCCGAAGATTGCTCCTGCTCTGGATTGACAATCGAATCGGTACTCACACTTTCCTGTATTATTTTCAGCAACCAGATTTCAGTCACTATTAACAGCAGAACAGTATTATACATTTCCTAAGTTGGTTCCGATAATAATTGTTAGCTAGAATTTCTTTACTGTCAGAAGAAAGGACTCTGTTTCCAGAATTTCGACAAATTCACTAAACTAATTTTCAACCAGTTCAAATATCAAATGTTATAAAATAAAAGCTGTGACAAATTTAAACAGCAGTAGTACCATATGTTCAATAAACAGCCTTGTCGTGTTGTTATGATCTGATGACGGTGGTACATCTCTCAGCGTAACTGATTCAGCCAAATCTTTCTGAGTCTGCAGCTTTTTGTTATTCTCCAGCGCCTCTTTCTAGAAGAGATCAATTCAAAGCTTCTCTGCATAACTCATGAAAAATTTAAGGAATGAAACTAGTTCCACTAAGTGAGTTTGATAGGAATATGATAAAAAGGTGAATTTATACAATAAGTGCTTCATTATACTCATATTACATTAAATTGCTTGCAATAAAATATTCCATATAATTAAAACTCCTGATTTGAAAAAACGTGCTGCTCCTTCATTTTTGATAAAATGCAACAGAGACTCATAGAATGAATAAAATTACCTTCTCATAAACATCCATAACCTCAGTGAGATGTGATGCAACTATAACCCATAAATACAAATGCGCATGACCATCGATCAATCTTGCAGCATCAGAGAACCGATCTATAGGTAGTGGAACCGATGTTTGCCGCCTATCATCGCTTACAATCGCAGTTGTATTTTCTAAGCCATTATCTTGCATCTGAAACATTAATTAATTTTCCTACAACATAGCTACAATTAAATATTTTTCTTCATTTCATCTTAGCTAGAAATCGAGAACCAATTTTCACGAAATTGGGATTTCATTAAAATATCGCATGCTAAATTTTATACTAAATGTTTAAGGAGAATTACTTACAACAATGTTCAAGAAACGCTGACGTGAAGGAGTAACGTCAAAAAGATGACCACTGCTATTCGCTCCTGAACTATCGAAAAGCCGCTCAACAAATTCACTTTGAGGACCAAGTGTAGTCCAACGTCGTACAGCATTTTGCCGATGCAGACCTGTGGAGTTCACGTTACCAGCACGACGTTGACCAATCAAAAGCCGATAGCCCTGAGAAATCTTATTACTAAAGTTTTTTCATTCAATACTACGTAGTCACAAAAATTACATCAAAAAAATCATGACAAATTTGATTCTTTTATAAATTATTAAATGAAAACTTACAGCAGGTCTTTGGACTATACTGCTATTATCAATAACACCATGTTGGGTTCTTTGCAATAAAGGATGAGCTGAAGTAATTGCAGCAGATGCTTGATCAAAATGAGGACCATCCATATCTAAATACACTTTCAAGCATCAAATATAAAAACCAACGTTTTCAAAATGTTTCTGACTTACTAGTATTTACAAAGAGACGTGCGCCCGGAAATGTGGCATTTGTAAGAGCATCTATATCATCCAAATTTTCAACAAATATGTTAGTATTGACGAAATTTTCTTCAGAACCACCATCTTCAAAACGATCTACAGATCCAGAATTTACATTATCGACTAAAGCAAAACGGGATAATGCTCCTGGCTCGATTTCTACCATTCCAAAATCATCTTCTTCCATACTCACATGCCCTTCTGGATTGAGAAAAATAATTCTCACTACAAGCACAACTTAACACAGGATATTAGCCACAGAATAAGCGGTTCCTGTACATGATAACCAAAAAAACTGCTTACTTTTTCGAAACTAATGTCAACTTGCATGAATGCGACCTTATATAGCTGGTGAGCTACGTTGAAAAAAAACCAGTTCCAGAATTTTAAAATGTAAAGCTAGAATAAAAATGGCGAACCTTCCATACCATCATCATGTTCATCATCTGTCTCCTCATCGACGTCCATTTCATTAAGGCCGGTACCATCCTTAAAAAAATCTTTCAAAATTAGAAGCAAAGGTCTTAATATGAAATAGGCATCCGTTTATAACTTGTAAATCATTATTATCAGATCATGTTTTCTGAAATACTTTAGCACTGAATACCGGCATAATGTTGCATCCACATATAAAAAGAGCTTGCAAAAAAGATAACGCTACATCATCATCGTCTCCATCATTTTCCTCTTCACTTTCGCTCGAATCATCAATACCATTCGGATGTCTGCTACGATCTTGACCATTACGACCAACTGTACAGAAATTAGTTCTACCAGTTCTGTTCCGTTCAACCTGCACATCAAATAATAATAATAGCAAATCATGATATAATAATTATCTACCGAAAACTCATCTAAAATCACTACCATTAATAACATCAAAAACTACAAATGTCAAAGACTTACGTCGAGAACCATAACCTAACTACAATAAAATCTACAGAATTATAACCACTGCGTGATCACTGAAGGCATCCTCCACTGATAGTAATTAAAAAATTACGTCGTGTGTTTCAAAACGGCGAACATCTGTCGTGTTGTTGCTATTACGAACATGTCGATCGTTGTGAGAATTTTCACCTCTTGCTCTAACGGTTACTGAAGCGTCATTCTCTACTGTGGCTACTAATGTCACAGATGCTGATGCATTTTGAGAGACTGACTGCGCCCTAGACGTATTTTCTACTCCCGCAGAGTTCAGTGGTCCAGGACTTATACTACAAAGGAATTTCAATAAAAAATAAAATGTAATGTGCAAGACACAAACATGTTTTCTAAACAAAAGTAATGGGTTTGTTTCAAAACAATTAATATCCTAAAAACAATTGCAATAGTCAAATGAATATCAGCTCGTACTTTGAAAACACATTATAAATAAAAAGTAACCCATTGATTGTACGAGTCAACTCCTCTAATACCCGCAATAGATAATTAAGTGTGTCTATCCCTTCTTTCGATGATAGATTCAGAAACCATGGAATTCTGCTTAGTTCGTTACAAACACGCTTCCTCACAATCAAACGTAAAATATAATTTAAATTTGTGTAGGTCCGCGTATCATGTAGAACTGCAGGACATGAATCACGTGCCAACAAAAACAAATCGGACAAGGACCTTATCTGCAAGATTAGAATTATAGTTTCAAGCATACATTATAAATCCCATTCACAAAAAACTATCCATGTTATATAAAACAGCAGACGGCAAATCACTATGCACTATCAATAGATGAAATTTTAATAAACTAATTATGTGCGCTTTAGATACCTTAGCGTAAGAAACCTTAGATTCATTTTCACTAAGAACCATGTGAAGGCAAGAGATAATATTCGATATTAGCGTTTCTTGAGCCTGAAATTTTCGTAGCTAAACTAAAATTTAATTCAGATTTTTAAGTGTTAAGGAACTAAAAAGAAAATTCTGCAGACATGAATAAAAAACTATTAAAAGGATACTTTTACTGAATGATTGCATGATGCTATAGCAGCCACAAAGCTTCGCACAGCGACCGAGAGATCATCGCCAATCGAAGTACTGTTTGAAACTAAACATTTTTTGAGAAGAGCAACCATGAAAGGTTGCCCATCAAAATCACACGATTCAGCAACAATCGTTGCAACAATACTATAGCTCTTCATTAATTCAGCAATCAGCCGAATAAGCGATGCACGATTCATCATTCGATTTTCATCTTCCCAATGAAAGTCTAGTGTATGATTCAACAAATGCATCAAAACCTTAAATTAAGCCATATTATATTTTTTTCATACCTTAAAATATAAAAATTTTCATAATTTTTAAACTGAAACATACATAAAGTTGACTTGAACACACTCATTTCAAATGAGAAAAAATGTCACCAACGGCGAAAAGTTTTTCTGAATTGTCATCATACAAAATATAATGTCAGTTACATCAAAATATCTAAAAAGCATTCTAATACTGATTTGATTAACAAAAGTTACCGTATACGATACCTGCTTAATTGGTGAGCAGGAAGCCCACTGCCTACAAGAGGCATCAACTGGAACAAGGGGCAAAACAGATATCTGATCTCTTGATTTCCGTGTGACACGTTCCATAGTCGCGGCAAAAATCTTTGGATGACGTGCACACAGAGGAGAAAGAGCACGTAGTGCATGTAACCAATCACGTGTAGTTTGTGGTGCCCTAAAAACAACAAATATCAACCAACGAATGTTTAACAACATAACCATCATACTCTAATGTAGCTAGGTTGAAAAAATCAAACATCATTTATTTACATTACCTGACATGATTCCATCTTGCTAAAGGAGGATGAATGTTATAATTGCCTGCAGCAATTGTACGCACTGTCTTTTCAAAAGTCTGCCGTACAGCTACTTCATCATCAAGACAATGACGAATGATCAGAGCTACAAAGAGTGTAGAAGCTGGCACAGTTGAACCAGGTGCATTTATCACTGTTTGCACACCACCTTGCTGAAAACTTATGCAAATCAATTCCATCATGAAATGATAATTTTCTATGAATGTTACTGACATATTTCACGCTATATATAGTTGAAAAAATTAGTTTTAGACTTTTCGTTCACCAGAACAAAGAGACCAACCATTTGAAGCACCTGGGTTACTGATTAGAGCAACTGTCAATAAGCCAATTTGTGTGTTACAACATAAATCTTTTCACATCATTGCGCTTAAAATATTCACAGAAAAAGAACCTGTAAAAATTCCCTTGCAATCGCAAAGTCTCTCGTAATACGTGCAGTTAATATGAATATTGCATGGATTGAATTTGCATCTACAACTGGCACATCAAGGAGAGCAATTATAGATGGCACAAGTCTTTCGCGTATCATAAGATTCCACTCTTCTAGCTCGCTGCTCTGAATAATTAACACTGAATTACTAAAATAATTTATGTCAGTCGACAAACAAATTCTCAATAGTCATCACCACCCAAAAATGTTACTTGATGCACTAGGTGCCCAAGATGAAGTCAAATCATAATGTTAGAATATGCAGGAGTTCTCAAAATGCATTCATCAAAAAAAAAAAACTGAGAAACCTCAGCAAGTATATCAGATAATAAAATTCCTTTCTTCAGTCTGCCAGTAATAGTAATTGGTCGCTCAATTTGAGACTCAACGTTGCGATGACTCATCGATGGAAAGTCAACAGTGCAACAGCGACCACCTACGCTTACACTACAATTTCTTCGACCACTGAGAAAGGCGTTTGTGAGTGTATGCGAAGCTGCAGGGGGATAACTAATCCAAGAAAACGTATTGCTTCTATCGTCGCTATCCCAGTATTTCCACGCATAGGAATCAACAGCCTGAAACCGAATGCAAACCAATAAAGGGATCTGTTTTTTTTTCTGCTTCCAATGAAGAATTCATAATAAAAACCTTTTCAACTTTATCCTTGCTATCAGATAACTTGAACATCTTATCATACAAATCAAGCCATAAACATACTGGTGCGATGAGCCTGAAACAAGCAAAAACTGAGGTGAATTTAGATGGCTACAAACCTTCGAACGATAAAAATCTTGAACATATAGTTGAATCAACTTACTTCATAAAAATAGGTTTCCTTTCACAGTATATTCCAATCATGTCCAAAACAGAAATCAAGACACTATGTAGACGATATTGTGTAAAGAGTGCTACATATGCAGTAGAAATACTAGGCCACAGCAAGCATACAAAATGTAAGCGAGTTGCAAGGGAAATAATGGTTTCTTCGTCTGACTGAAGTGTTGGAGTATTTTTTAAATTTTTGAAATTAATTATATTAAAAGAAAAAAGAAAAAGAATATTTAGTTCATCTCTATGACTTGCAATGATGCAAAAATATATCTATTTTGAAAGTTTAAAAATCAGTTGAATATATCAGAATCCGTGTAAGCAATGCTATTTTTCTAACCTGATTGCATCGCAACTCATCTACCATCAAAAGGATATCTTGCACCAGATATTCACCAATAAGAATATTTTTCCTCCAGTCATCATCAACTTCATTGAAAATTGCCAGTAAAATCTCTGATGTACTAAATACAAGTTCTGTTCCATGCTCCATCAACTTCAAGAGCACTGGAATAATCTGTAAACAAGTCCTAATTTATCTTATTTAAAGACATATAAGACAAAAGTGAAAAGAAAACTAAGAGAATATAAGATGAAAGAGTGCTACTTAATGTTGACTTTTATCGAATTTTTGTTATGCGGTACTCATTTCAAATAAAAAAGCAACGAATATTGAATAGGTGAAAATTGAAACCCAGTTAACTATGATTGAATTAGCTTATAACAAATCATACATCTTTGCATAGCGTTGACAACACAAGACGAGTATCAAGAGGAGGTACTTCATTTAATCCAATAGGCTCTTTGAGAAGGACATCTTCAAACTCCACATTTAAATCATTGCTATGGCTACCACCACTTCCTTCATCTCCATCATTCTAAACATTGATAATTAGCTTCTTGAAAAAGCACAAATGTTTCAATGTTTGACAACTGACTTCGTCTGCTTCAAGTCTTTCGTCAGCTGACTGCCGAAGTCTGCCTAAACCATCTGTTGCAATCAAATATTCAGCAGCTTCCGGTACTGTTGAGTACTCAAGTAGCGCATCGACTGCAGCATCATGATCAAATCCCATATCAACCAAAAGATTAATATTCCCTTCATCTAACTCCGCTTCCAATCTACAAATACACGGTTTTATAGCAAGTTGGAAAAAAAACGTAGTGAAGTTCTTGAGTACGATCCAAAATTAGTCATTAATTAAAACCATGACACACACTTTCATATATTACTTTCTAGTCAACACGTTGAAGCAAAACATTGAAAAATTTATTACTGATAACTTCTATTATTCCAGGACAAAAACCAACTTTTTGCGATCTTCAGAAGTTGCAATAGCAGTATGTTTCTGCTTTTCGGTTAAGGGGACCATTCCTTTCACTACTTCACGAAATACAGAAACTGCCATATCGCAAATGTTCAAATTGACGGCATCATTTAAAGGCAACGATGACAGTAAATTGAATATAATATTAGCTTGTCGAAAAGCATCCTGCAAGCCGTAAAGCATAGTAAGGAAAGGAACACTCAAAAAACATACTTTACTTATACGATGAATTAAAACCTGCTGGCATTTAGCCAAGTATTTATCAGTTGGGAAACGTTTTGCTTCAGCAAATCGATCTGATATCTTGTAGCGTGAATGAAGAAAAGTGTAAGCATTGACTAGTCGTTCCGTTAGAGACAACCATGCTTGTAGGAACTGTCCCATCTCGACTGCAGAAAAAAAATTTAGTAAATTTTTGTTAAAATAATTATGCCTCTTAAATATGGAGATGCTAGCAAAATGAAATTTGGTGCACGATTTTTCACATAATAATGGAGCTGCAATAGGTAACTACGATAATTATATAAAACTGACATACTTCATAATAACTACTGAAAACTGACAAACTGATAAAATCGACAAAAGACAAACCACAATAACTATTAACACGATTAGATCCAAAATAATTCGTAATAATGCCGAAGAAAGTATCGTGAGTACCAGTACGATAAAAAGCTGATAGCATCAGATGATATGGACTTTTGCGTTCATCAAAAAGAACGTTACTGAGATTATTGATGCAAACTGCCAGATATGGCAACCTTCAAAACTTTATAGTCAAAAATCATATCTAAATTTGACAGCCAATCAAATTATTACTAATATGTTAACTTCCAAATTAGTTATCTTTTTTTTGCATGCTATAGCCGTTATGATATGTAACTGATGCTAACAAAAAATGAAGAGTTGACGAATCTATCACAAGTTATCGCAGTGAATGAAAATTCTATACTAATTTTATTTTACTTATTTCAAATGGAGAAAGCTAACATTATAGTAAGGTCATCGTCGTTGTGAGGTTTCCACTCCAAAGCCTGATGGAAACTTTTCATAATTTGCAACGCTAGTTGTACAGCATTTTCACAAGGCGTACCACCCTCAGCCCCATGCATTCTTCTTGTCCTTGTCATTCCACCAATAGCAATTTTCGTAAGCATCATCAGTAATTCAGTACAGTGTCGATTGAATCGACTTAAAGCGCTGGTTCCCGACTTCGAACGAAGCCAAAAGTCATCGACTAAATTTTTTGCAATTAATTCGCAACAATCAAAAGCAAATTAGTACACAACAGTAATTGAAACAATAACTTGAAATTGCAGGAATATTTAGCGAAAACCGCGGCGACGAAGAAACGAAGAATGAAGAATTTATGCCACAAGATTAAACAATTTTTTGCTTCATATTCCCCTCAAATATACTTGCTCTTTTTCGACAAAACTGATCATTCCTATTTCGAAATTAAAACGCGGAAATAAAAGTGAATAACTGCGTAGTGATTCATTGTATACTCACGCAAGTATTTTGGTCGGGCCATTCGTTGCGGTACACTCTCAGTACCAACAGCATTTCGCCTCGAAGATTCATTACTATCATCTGCCTGTGCGCTCTTTTCAACACTATCTGTTTGTGTGAAAGCTGTACACTTGTTAACCGTATTATAAACTTGTAGAACAGCGGATTCCCAAACAATCACTCTGAAGATAAAATGAGATGGAAAAGAATCACACAATTTCTGATAAATAAGCTGCGATATAAGGTGAAATTATGCGGAGCTTTACCTCTGGGAATGAGTACAGGATGACAAAAGCCTACAGCCTTCATTTGTCCAGAATCTGAGAATAGCAGTTTTTGCAGCTGTGTTGCTTCCTAAAGCAGTTTTGGACAAGCTGCACAGAATTGTACAAAGAACGGAGATCGCGCAAATATTTGCAAGTGAGAAATCAGAATAAATGATTCTAATTAATGATGGCTTGAGAGGATCTTTGCTTGTTTTGCATGAGGAGAGAAAATCCATACAAAACGCGTTTAATCTGTTCGCGACCAAACTCATCACATCACTATTTCTTGCATGTTGCTAAAATAAATAAAAGAAACACGATATATGAAATTAGTTTCTAACAAGTAAAATCAATATTATTTCTCAAATAACAGGAAACATTTCCTCAAATTATTTTTGTACTTAAATCAAGATTGATATATCTTATTAGATTAGAGTGTACCTTATGCTACTGATCTTTAAGCAAAACAGCGACATTACACTCTAAAATTCACAAACTGTAATCAGATCACAAATCAAAAATCATAAAATAAAATTATTATCTATGAATTAATTGATGTCATGATACTTTGTCACTCTTATCTGGTACTATTTATAATTAATAATATAAGCTACTGATTTATTAATTCTGTGATCGAAAAACATACACTGGAAGAATTAAAACATTACTTACGAAGAGAAATCGCAATATGTTATTGACAAGTTGTGGGAAGAGCGATTGTGCCAATTCTAATGGAATCTGTCGAACGTACAACATGGAAAGTAATTTATCCGCAGCACCAGAATGCATGAAAGCATCAGCATGTTCAGAAGAAGCATTATGAGTTAACAGTGTTTCCAAAAACTTTCCAATGTTCAGCAAATATTCACCGAGGGGAACAATTGGCTTTCCGTCGCATACTATGGACAATGACAGACCAAGATCAGATTGAAAAGAATTACTCCCAGCTCTATGTAGTTTTTCCCTAAATTTGTTCAAGATTACTACACTTCAAGATCTTTTTTTGGAACCCGAGAAAATAAGCTTATTATCCTAATGCAAAATACTGAATCTCTATAATGTAAAAATTAGAAACACGCATGATTTTATATGCACCAACAAAGGTTTTTTAATAAAACACTAGCTTTGGTCCACTAACATCCAATTTACAATTTGTAGGATCGCGAAATCTTTAAAACTATTACATAGTTGTAACAGCTGCCGTTGGATCATCTTCATCATCATCAGAAGCAACATTGTCTACTATTATATTTTCGTCTTCTCGGCTAGGAGAGGATCTTGCTACTGCTCTCGAAAAATTTGCCATCATTGTTTGAGAGTTACGGCATGAAGTGAAAGACATGACGCAGCGTGGTGAATCAGAAGAAGCAAGCTCCAGTAATTTATTGAACTTCTAAAATATGAACTCTCAAATTTTTCGAGATTAAAACTATAAATAAACTAAAACATGAAAACTGTAAATAAACTAAAAGGGAACAAAGTAACTAAAGAAACATAGTAAGTGTGAGAACCATAAAATATGTAACAACTACATCTATTCTTACCTACTCGACAGTAAGTTAAAAGAACGTACTTTAGTCAGCGAAGTCAGAAATTTTTCACGCAAAGTTGGATGATGGCGCAAAAAAGAATCGAGAGATGTGCCCAAATTCAAAGCTACTTCATCTAAAACTAATATATGAAATGAAACTGCGAATGCTTCACACGTCACAAACAAACATCAAAACTGTAAATAAACTAAAATGAGTTCAATTTAAGATAGCAATGAATACGAATATACTACAATGAAAATAGAAACAGCCAGCCAACAAAGTAACTAATTATGATATCAAAGACTACAAATAACTAACTCATTTCGTTACGACGACACTTCATCGCATAAATATATTTCGTTGACACAAAAATGTTACAGAAATGATCGAATGGATTTTCCTCCAAAAAATTTTTTAGCCCACGATCATTTAAACAAAGAGCAGTGAAAGTATTTGGCAAAGCAGCAATCACGTCTCGAGATGTAGGCAACTGAAGAGTTGATTATGAGATTCAAGTTAAAAACTAACAAACAATTTAGTAATTTTAATGAAATACTGACCTCCTGACGGAATATTGCTTTCAATACAGCATCTGTTACACCTTTATCTTGCAACGAAGCGAGAAACGAGGGTTCTTGATAGATAAAATTTGTGATCAAACTAACGGCTGAAAAGTGATAATAACATGTAATACGAACAAAAAAATGAACCGAAGAAATAAACATCTACATAAGTTGATTATAACAAGAGGACCACGAAGTGTTTCCAAACTAATTAGCTCATAAATTGTGGAACAATTAAGTTTCTTACCATTATGAAATAGCGATGCACCGAAAAATCCACAATTTGTCACAATGTGCATTAATGCAATTGGTAAGCCCCCATCCATAACTAAAGTTTACAATTTACAACACATTATTATTCATAAATAAACAAGTGAACAGATGAACGCTAATTGAAAAAGAACTGTGAGCATTAGATCACAAATCAACTCACTGTGTCGAACACTATCAGCAAACTGTGTATCCTGAATAGCTCTTTTGATAAAATTCAACAATGATTTAATTAGTGCAGCACGCTGCTGATGGCACTGCTCTGTTGTTGGTCCAGCAGCACTTAATTCTGCTAGATGTTTCATGCATATATTGATGTCGAACTGTAATTTTTAAAAAAACAAGAACTACTGAGTAACTATCGTTTCAATATTGATCATTTTTTGGTTTCCAATATTTTTATAACCGACCAGTTCAAAACTTTTCTATAGCTAATGCTTGTGAAAAAAAAGCACTGAAAGAAGAATGAGATTCATTCTTGAATGAAAAGACTTTAACTGACCAATGTAAAAAATGGCACTTTTAAAACTACTATTTTGAAACGATCAAACAAAAACAAACAAAAACATTCAAACAAAAACTTTCTTTCAAGACCAGGAGGTCTTCAAGAAATATTACTAAACAATAATGGTATTTTAATAATTTAAAGTACTAACAATAAGACGATGCACAATTATGTTCATTCCACTGCATGATATGAAGCCGTTAGCATCCAAGGAAGTCATGATGTCGATAACACGAACAGCTCGTGTTACAAATGTGATGAGTTCTAATGGCAATGATTCACAAGATACCACGCCGAGTAATGTCTCCGTTAAAGCACAAGAAACTAATGCTTCACCTCCTAAAGCATGATACTGTAAAATGAAAACATGATAACTTTAAATGTGCCAATACATGAACTACAGATAAAACAAGTTACCGCTTTCAAAGCCAGCAAGATGGTAAAGCAAAGAAAACAGAGCTGTGCAGAATGGTACTGTTGTATATCCATTTCCAATCCTTCCACAACGTAAATCCTCTACACATTGACGTGTCATTCGAGCCAAAAAACCATGATACGAATTCACTCCAAGAGATTCCACTATTGAATTCAACCTGAGTTTCTTGCAAATTAAAATAAAAAACACAACTACTAAAGTATTATGAAATAATCTAAAATTTCACCAATGCAACCAATTAAAAAGAGTTAATGTTTGCATGTTAAATTTTAAACAACGGTGATATCTAATACCTAATAACTGATAATCAAAATTTTTAAAAGATCCTCGGAATTTCACCTACTTTGCAGGTCTGCCAAGTGAAACAATACTAGTTAAAGCGCGAAGTGCTTCAGTTTTGACTGCGTCAAGAATTAATTCATTTGTATTACTGATAAGAAGTAAACCAGTGACATCTTCAATAAGGCCATCATGAAGCATCGCCATCATTGTCCATTCTTCTACTACACTACGCGTGTAAACTAGAAGAATATACTTTGCCGTGTAACAAAGTCCATAAACATGAAGAGATAGTAAAATTAAAGATTAAGCATACTTAATATTGACAACGAAAGAAGACGAGCAATGACGCTCAATCTTCGACCACGAGATGTATTGAATGATCGTACTAAGCGTAAACGTGCTATCAAAGATGCACGTTCATTCTCTTCAATTACTTTATTAGAGAGCAAACTTCCCAATTCATCCGCAAAACTTTTATCCAGCTAGAAAAAGTTGAGTTAGAAGTATTAAAAACATACAAATGATCAAATGGACCTTACAGTACTGCTATTTCGCAATTATCAGATATGAAGCACAGTATTCTATATTTTCACAAATTCTAAGGCTGCATTAATTCACTTATTTCTGTTCCTAAACTTCTTTCTATTCTGAGAAAGAGGATAAGTTGCTAGCAGGTACATATAACTAACATATACTACACGGACGAGAATGCTGGTATCTGCTTGGAATCCGATCGGTAGGAGAGCAGAGGGACGAATATTTGTAGTACAACATTCATCCATTTTTATGCTTTTAAGTTTTCCATTCCAGCACTAAAATAAAACACAGTATCCCAAAATATGCTCAGTACTGTTAACAATTAATGACAAAATATCTAACTTTCCTCTGTTACACATGGGATATTTGAAGGATACATGATTGATAACAAAAAAAAATGGACCTGAGCGATTGCAGAAAGTCGAAATGTGAGATTTTTTTGTTGGACATCGCTGAGATGTTGAGAAAGAAATCTTGAACGTTTACTAATAACTAGAAATAGCCGTAAAGCCTCCACGACAATCTCAATATTACCGGAATCCAGCAATTTCAACAACCGCTGAAAAGGTTGGCAAATACAATGTAAGGAGCTAGATTAAGTAGGCTAATTTGGTGTAGACTGAAAATTTTGGAAATGCAGTGATTTATGAAGCTTAATTCGATAAACAAGAATAGAATCCGTTTACGAATATTACAAACTTCGTAAAACTAATGATTAAATACTAAAACTACATAAGCAATTCAGATCAATTTCCTTAAATGTCTTTTTTAGACTAAACAGTAATATCGAAATTTACCCCTTCATGACACTTACATCGGTGGAACTGTAGACTGCACGAGTGAAGGTATTTTCAAAGAGTAAAGCAGTAAAGGAAAGAACAGATGTAACATCTGCAATCAAAGAAGGATTTTCATCAATGGCCATCGGTTCACCTGGCGCTGAGCTATTTGTTACAGCATCTTTCAACACATCATCACACATGTTAAGAACATCTGACCATCTTGCCATTTCACACTATAATACAAATTATGCAGCATGATGATTATCAAAAAATATCTAACACTTCAAAAGAAATGCCAGCTTTAAAAGTTCAGCAGCTCAGAGTAATCAGAGTATGATGAGTCTTCTCACTTTTCCGAAATGCGGCTGCCATTCATGAACTTCTGCCAACCGCTCCAAAAATGCTTTGCGATCCGGAGCAGACTTGATATAGTCGATAAGTTGCACACATCGAGGAAACTGAAATGACAGTTTATGACACCAATCAGTTACTAACTACAGCATTTCATTTACAAGAGCTTACTAAAACCAGATACTGATCTTTTACTGATTTAAGTCCATTCCCTGTAATTCTAAATCCTTTATTCCAACAAGTATTGCTGAGAAACTAGAAATTTCTCAACTTAACAGTCTTGTAAATTACCAGCAGTAAAAAAAGTAAAACTTGGTAATAACACTAGTTCCTCAACCCAAAGTTAGCTATCGAATTCAGACAACCTCGTAGACTTTTCATATTATTTATACTTATTAATGGTATTTACAAGTAATTTACAGTGCTTCCTGTCTTGACAGAGTCAATAATGAAAATAAAAACTTTAAATGTACTGACAATATCTGCATGTGAAGGTCGCACTGTTTTCATGTCGATTTTCATTTTTGCCGATGATACGACTAATTATATATTCACCATCCAAATCGAAAGTAATACCAAATGAGATCCTGAAAGAGTGAAACAAAAAACATACAGCTACAGTGCAATACAAATTCCCATACAAAATCCATAGTTATGCGGACTATACAATATTTTTGTTATGCGTAATGAATGAGATTTAAAACATATATAAATTATGTATAACACAGATCGTTGTTAAGAACTTGTGTTCCTACGACAATCATGAGAAAGATTTCTATCTCTTCTATTAGACTTTTAATAAAAAAATGCCAGTATAAATTATTTCTTTCACTTTATCAAACACAACAAACATCATGGTGGTTTCGATGAATCCCCCTCCATTCCATTCAATATCATATTTATGGATTTGTTTGCTAGCGAAAAAATATTCAGTCTTTGCATCATCAGATGCAATAAGAGAAAAAAAGTGGATCAAAACTCTATTCCGAAAAATTAATAAACACTGCCTTAAAAAGAGAATAATCTTTGTTAATGATCTAAACTACCAGATCGAAAAACTTATTCCATAGCCAAAAATATACACATAAATTTTTGGTGAGACATTACAGTGCTTAATAATTATTCAGAGTTGTTTTCTAGCCTTATATAATTGAAAGTGTCTATAAAACCAATGAAACCATGATTTCTACAAACTTCAGTACAAATAAAAGTCAAAACGAAACACCAAGTCATATGTGAGATGCCAAAGCCTACGCCAAAAAAGCCTAAAATAAGCGGAACACATACACACAAGCCGCACTTCTGACACAGTTCTCTGTGCACTGTGGATATAATCAATGAATGGGAGCCAACGTTACTTTTTGTATGCACATAAAACCGTTGTGGAATACTACCCTCAAGCAGCCAATTTCTGCCAACTTTATAATCAGTGAACACTTGTATGTTGTAATGAATATGAGTGAAGCCAGGCAATAAATACATCACCTACATAATAAGTACAAGCACATCACAATTTGTATACGTGCAAACTTTAATCTAAAATATTATGAAACCGTTGCATGCAACATCCAACGTATACATCACGGACCCGACCGTTTCTTGTCTAATGAGTTCAAAGAAGTAATAGTAAGGTGTAGAAAGTATGAGTTTTACACTAATTATAAAGAAGTTAGAGTAAGAAAGAATCTTGAGGCTTGTAGTTCAGTTCATTATTGATTATATTGTCTCATGACCACTTAGTATTATTTAGATACAAACACTAATTGTCTGGAAAAGTTACTCTGTTGCACTGTATTACTTTTTTCTCTCAACAGTTGTTTTCTAGCCTTATATAATTGAAGTCTAGACCACTTTAGTATTACAGTGGATCGATATTTATTACAAGAATATTTCACATCATAATTTTTCATCTGTTCCTGTATTTATTTCCAGATGAATAAATTAACAAATAAGTTTTTCGTTAAACGATTTCAAATACTTTTGTGTCCCGAAATTATGCGCACTTTGTCTTCTCGTTTTACTTCTGGAAGCAAGGATCAAGTAAAAGAAGATTTAGTCCTGTCTTCTGAACACTTCGATAATATTGCACCCGATCTTCGGAATAAACAGACTTTTCTCAGTGTTGTCAGTAAGCTTTGCCACTGTTTATTCATATACTTATGTGAGATCTCAGCAATCATAACAGTAATAAAGACGTTTGATAAATTTTAAAGAACTGTTATGAGGACAGAATTGGTGATAGCTTTTTTTTATATTAAAAATATTTATTTTGCTTGCGGAGACTTCATCTTATTATCGATGTGGATACTAAATTTAAACTGATTAAATGTTAAGGCTGATCAATTATATAGCATGGACAGTTTAATTTTGTACTCATTGTTCATACCATTTAATTAGCTTGCGCCAAAAAAAACAGTAGTATTTCATTTTCTCTTAGCATTGTTATTTGTATTTAGAATAAAATAATAAATTTTAGATAGTTTTTGTAAGAAAAAAGGACATGCTCGAGGCCATGTAGAATTTATAAATTCGGCACTAAAATATATGAAAGAGTATGGGTTACAAAAGGATCTTGATATTTACAAAGCTTTGCTCGGAGTTTTGCCAAAGGGTCCAATGATACCTCAAAACGTATTTCAAGTATAATTTGCTTACATATACTCAGATATTTACCTTGATGTAATGATTTATTTGTCCGTTTCTTTTATTCCGCTTATTATTTAGATCTCATAAAGCTTAGAGGAGATTTGTTTTTCAGAAAAGAATTTTATACTATCCTCAACAGCAGATTTGTTGTGTGAATCTCCTCGATGAAATGGAATGGTTTGGTGAATGTTTTTTTCCAAGTTCCTTTTATTTTGACTTGTGGGTCTTTCATAGAAAATGGCATAATGTTGCATGAAAAATCCAGACACTCTCAGCCATTGTTTATTCTGTGATATTCTCAAATATAAGCTGTAATCTTTTATTCCGACTTTATATAGCGTTGTAGGAGTACAGCCGGACAAGGAAATGCATGATTTGGTTGTTAATATCTTTGGCGAGTGGAATTATGCTTCAAAGAAAATGAAGCGAATGATGTATTGGATGCCAAAATTGAAATATTCAAATACTTATTTAGATCGTAGGAAAGTTGAAGAACACAATCTGGGAAACATAGAATTTAGCTATCTAGCATTGAAAATGATATCACGTGATCCAGGCACTCGAATAACTCTTGTCAAGGTTGTCTCATTTACATTTATTTAATCTGTATTTGATTATCGCAAAAAGTTGATGTAATTTATGCTTCACAGAATTTTATTTTGTTCGGTGTAGCAAGCAGATAGTCCTTCGCTGCATAATACTACGTGCGTTCACTAGATTATTTTTATCATGTCATGTTCAAATAAGTTCAGAAATGTTTTACAGACAAATGATGCAGAATTAGATGAATCAGATAGGTGGCTCTTATCGGCGCAAAGTCCACTTCAGATGAAATTATTACATAATTGGAATAAAAGTAATACTTTATATGTAGATGGTCCTAATAAAGTGTATTTAATGAATCACTGCCTTGATTACGTTGGTCTCTTTGCTGATTCGAAGTCTCGTTATTATGAAAAGTATGAAGAAAAGTATCTGGTAAGACATTTTTCATGATTAAAGTGACTCAATAAGGCAAGTTTTATTTCGGTTTAAAGAGCACAAAATTATTCAGCTTCATAAAAGTCGATTATTTGTACATTATGCTTTAACAAAAAAAGTTTTAAGCAAAGTTCCTTTGTGACTTTTCTTTAATATCAGTTATTTTTGAATTTTAGATCACTTTGCTTTGAAAAGTAGATTCTTTAATATTGATGACACCTTCCTCATTGATTACAGCAATTTTATTATTCTTTTTACGTTACATAGCTCTTATTATGGTCATTTTATTTGCTGATCTAGTACTGATTATCTTCAACTTTTTTATTGAAAAGGTATCTGACTAATACTCGACAAAAGTGCATAATGTTTATCAATACAAATTTTGTTAGTTTGGTTGCATGTTGCGTTCTCATTAATTCTTAGGACGAAGATTTTGAAAACTGGAAAAGCGAATGGGACAGAGGTGCAAAAAAATGCCCAAAATGCAGTATTCACGAACAACAGCATGAGACAGTTCTGGGGCTCTCTGTATTTGGTAAGGTCTGCAGAGAAACTGCCGCATCGTGGATCAATCACTTGCAGAAAACAAATCCATCTTTGTGTGATGCTTGCATCTTATTCCGAACAAAGGAAGCAAATGGGATATCAGTAACACAATTGTCATAGTATTACTGATATCATTTCAGTGAACTTTTTACGTTACATAGCTCTTATTATGGTCATTTTATTTGCTGATCTAATACTGATTATCTTCAACTTTTTTATTGAAAAGGTATAACTGTTAGGATCCCAGTGTCTATCGTACAAGTATATACAGTTGTTGGTGTTAGTTCTTTTAACTGAATTTGCTATTTCTAAAATGTAAACTGTCTCTACATATTCATACCTCTATTGTCTATTGATAATCGAACAGTATTCAGATGCTTAAAGTAAGATTCATTTACACTTCTCCTTAAGAAAATCATTTTACCTAATTTAGATCCTTCATACTCTATGTTACTATATTTTATATTAGTGGAGCCCATTCATGACATCAGTCCTTATCCTTGATTCGTATATTGGGAAGCAGAAGCAGC